ATTTCACAACCTTCTATCACCACAATCAATTAAAAAGGCTTACTAGAATGTCTTGGTGATGAGACTTGTTGTTGTGTGTTTTTCAACTTCTTTGCTGACTTTTGATTTTCTTTCACTTGCACTTCACTTGCACTTCTTTTTGTATTTTTTGTTGTTGTTGTTGTTGTTGCACATTGCTTCTTCCACCAAAGCTCTGATACCACTTGATGTAAGGTGATTCTACCTTGTTGATTGATTGTGGATCTAGAAAGAAAGCAAAACAACATACATATGTGAATGGCTCAAATAGATGGTTTAGGTGGTAGATGTAAAGGTGAAATGGTATGTTATTTAATAAATAAGAGATGGTAGCTGAAGATGATTGTTATTTAATAAATAAGAGATGGTAGCTGAAGATGATTGTTAGGGCTATGGTATAGTTGATGAAACAATGGAATGTTGAAGAGGATAATATCTTAGAAGTGACCAAGGAAAAACCAGTGCTACAGAGAGCAAACCCAGCCACCACTTGATGTAAGGTGATTCTACCTTGTTGATTGATTGTGGATCTAGAAAGAAAGCAAAACAACATACATAAGTGAATGGCTCAAATAGATGGTTTAGGTGGTAGATGTAAAGGTGAAATGGTATGTTATTTAATAAATAAGAGATGGTAGCTGAAGATGATTGTTAGGGCTATGGTATAGTTGATGAAACAATGGAATGTTGAAGAGGATAATATCTGCAAGGAAAAACCAGTGCTACAGAGAGCAAACCCAGCCTTACAAATCCCTTATAAGGGGTGGTAATAAGGACTTCGACCCACTATCTATATAGAGATAAGAACCACAAGTATCAAAGGGAAAGGGGTTGACGCCACAAGTAATTTGAATTACTTGATAAGTCGATAAAAGTCACAAATACTTAAGCAAAGAGAATAATCTCACTTAAATTGATTAAAAAATGTTCTGTTACAAATGAAATAGGAAAGCCTATTTATAGAGTTTTAAAGGGGTATGACTGAATGGGTACATAATGGTTTGGCCAACCCTTGTGCCTTCCTCAAAGAAATTATTTAATACATAATTAACATGAATAAATAGGTGATGGTTCGGTTGCAATGTAGGAACATGTCTTTATGGTTGAATATCACTTGTATTCTTTCAAGTTGGCGCCAAGTGGAGTCACACGCCTTGCACATGGTTTTATGGTCATATGGCATGCACATGGGTGATCTAGAGAACCTTGTAGAGCAGTCTTGTGCACATGATAAATGTTGGCCACGTGCAACATCATGGACGTGCATGGGTCTCCCTCCAAGCTTGCTTGAGTGGGTAGCTAGTTAGCAAGCAAGGGTTGGTTCGATTGTGAGCTGTATATGTCTTCTAAATTATCCACTAAGCTATTTACGAGTTGTATATGTCTTCCAAATGCTCCACTAAGTTGTTTGTGAGCTGTATATGTCTTCCAAATGCTCCACTAAGCTGTTTGTAAGCTGTATATGTCTTTTAAATGCTCCACTAAGCTGTCCCAACGTGTGTCATACTATAATGTACCTTTTTCCTTCTTTTTCTTGATTGTAAACGCCATAAATGGATTCATGAGGGTGGAAATGCATCAGGTGTGAACATGGCTCTTCATTTGGTTGTAAATCCCGTATAAATCTTCAGCCTGCACTGTCTTCAGTAATCTAGGCATATCTCGAGGTCCCAATATCGGATTGATACGATTCAAAGTGCGTTGGAAAGATAAGAGACAGGGAATTAAATTTTAAGAAGACTTCATCTCTCATATATGCTTTTAACATGTTCAAAAGTGGCGATCAATATGACTAACGTGCACTGTCCATTGGATTGCCTTGAATGTACCTTGCACTAAATACAAAATGTATATAAGTTACAATGCCCAAAGGTAATGAATAAGTAATAAGTAACATTCTAATGTAACACATGATTCCATGGCTAATATAATAATGCAATTGATATGATAACATAAGTAAGGAATGTGTAACATATGTATGAAATAAGCTAATTAAAGATGTGACATGAATGATAAGTATGATGACATGATATGTAAATGATATGCAAACATAATAAATGAATCTAAAACATATGTAAACATAATATAAAGCTAAGTAAAGATGTGGAAACGTATGTTATGCATGAAAATCATAGAATATGCAAGTGAATGATAACACATGATTATTCAAGCATAGTTTAAGATGCAAATGTATGCTCATAATAATATATAGTGCATAAATGAGTAAATATAAAATAAAGTAAGGAAGAACTCCCTTATATTGAGAATTAGGGATCTATAATGATGTGAGTATGTCATGCAGAAAGTTGGTGCTAGTCAGGATCACATCACTGGTGATAGAGAAATGCAAGATTGTGTTCGATTGATCACTACGGTTGTGCTTACTTTTGTGATCATTTGTTGTTGTATTCTGGGAGACTGACGTCCAACGTTACTCAAAGCACCTAGGAGAGGACGAATCTGTCTAAGGAAACTGTTTTACATGTCTCAACAAAAATCCTTCTTCGGTTTATCTTAGTCTGCTCATCTGATTTCGTGTCTACGCATGAGTAACAAGTTTCATTTTTCTATTTTAATTATTTATAATTGTTTTGCTCCGTTCGATTATATAATATTATTTATTTATTATTTTTATTTTTATCTCAAATTAACATTTTTTCTAACACAAAATATGATGATAGGCTTATAGTATTCGGCGCCATCATTGTCTTCATTGGCATGCCTTGGCTATGTTGTTGACCATATATAATATGATCTCATTCACCCTCACTCGCATATTCTGTCAAAGATGTTTGAGTGCTTTGCATTGCTTCTTATGAACCTCCAACTCAATTCGACCGAGTCTCCGTTAAAGCATGAAATGGAGGATACAAACCAAAACTGGTTTTAGATGTAAAATAATCGGCAGAAGCAGAAGACAAAGATGTTGATGATGATTTCTTGGTCATTGTGAATCTGGAATTTCCTTATTCCTATTCTTTCCTATCATATAATGTCGTTAAATATTGTTTTCCATTTGCTTTATAATTCTAGAGGTAGGGAGAAATGTCAAAATCAAGGTTAGCAGGTGTAATCTCGTAATACATAGAGATCGATAAATGACGCTGATTCCATTGCTCAATGTAGACAACACATTTCCTTAATTTATTGTCTTTATGCTTCCCACGCGTATCAATTCTATGGAGCGCGTTCATATCAAATATTTGCGTAAGAATCGGTTGATGAGACTCAAATTGTAGCAACACTTTATCTGTGGCATGCATCTAAACAATCACAAAGTGTAACATAGGCGTAACAGTACACCACAACTCCGATCCTTCAAAAAATTCCGGTGGAGTAACTGGTAAATCTCGTCGTCATAATATAGGATCCAAGAAAACTGTAATAATTAATAATAAAAGTTAGTATAAATAAAGTGAAAAAATTAATTAAATTTTAGTAATTAAAAAATTAATATTTACCTTGTGTCGATCAACGATATCGATTCTCATTCGTATATCTTTTTTAGTTGCACCTGAAAACTTGGTCTCAGTAATTTTATGTCGTCATCTACATAATATAAAAATTAAAAATTAAAAAAATCTCAAAAAAATAAATTTAAAATTTTACTAAAAAATAATGTTAAAAAATTACCTTGCAGCGAGAAGAAACTCAACCGGGGCTGTTTTAATTGGCATAAAAATGAAAATTGGTCTCACGCCCACGATTGTAGTAGGACTAGAAAACTTGCTACATGCTTTTTTTGACCCCGTTCGACGATTGTAGCATTGCAAAGTTCTAGTATAAAAAATACAAAATGCTTAGCCTTAACTAGTGTTGCGTCACTCATTAAAATTCTCCAAGAAGATACTAAATGTGCTCTAAATTACCAAATTTATCCGGTAACAATATCCCTCCAATCAATTGAAGCAGATACGCTCCGGCTGTAAAAATGACCTCATCCTCGGTAGAGTAGTTTGTCATATTAAATTCAGACTTCAACCAAGTGATGCGTATCCGAAACCCCTCTAAAACCTCTTATGGTGGCATCTTTTCATTTTGTGAACAAATTTGAATCGATCGGAACTGTTGTGCCTCACTTTCAACGCACCATTAACAGGAATCCCGAGTTGGTTAGCGACATTTTCCAATATAATTGTCATTTCAGCACTTAAAAAAATGAAAAGTATACGTCTCAAGTTCAACGTTTAGTCAAAGCCATAATTAATGTTGGTTCACCTTAAACAACGCGAAAATTTCGTTGAATACAACTTGGATTGTTATAAATATATAATAATTCGCTTATGCGAATCTATAAGAGTAATTCCTCATTGATGAATGCCTCGTTCTTCTTCCGGATCGAGCTCGAGCAAAAAATATAGACATCACCGAAGCGTAACATTTTATCGTAGGTAGACATTTTTCAAAAATTTTCAATATTTTTCGAATCTTTCTCAATTTTTTCTTAACAAAACACAATAAAAAAAAACATAAACCGCAAACCCAACGGCCATAAACGACTAATTTTTTCAAAATTTCCACTAAACCAATGAGTTCCATGATAACTGTTATAATCTCACTGTTGCAGTTACCCATAGTGTACCGACTACAAATGGCTATTTTTTTAAAATTCAAGATAAGCTCATTACCTCAACATGAAGATTTAGTTTTAAAAAAATACTTAATGAACTTAAAAATGAAGATTTAGTTTTAAAAAAAATAAAATACTTAATGAATTTAAAAAAAAATAATTAAATTCTGAATAGACTCATCATTTTAACGTGAAGAGTCTTAATAAACATATTAAAATATTAACCTAAATAGAATCTACATACCTGATACTAATAAAAATATTTAAAAAAATCGCTACCTCAACATGACAAATTTACTGTTTACTGTAAGATATTAGATCGCAAATTGAATTCTCTACTAACCCATTGGACTAAATAATTTACCCGCATGGTATTTGAAAAAAAAAACCCATTACAACTAGTAAGGCACCATCAATTTTCAATTTGCATTTGATTTGACCCACACCAGTTCTTCCGGCACTCGGCCAACATGTCCATGTAGAACTGACACTTGCTGATTTCGTTTCCATAGCTGTTCAGGCACTACAAGTAACAGAATAATACAAGAACATCAGTATACCATTATCGCTAGACTCAAATAAAATTTTATAACTTGACGAATCAGCAGTCGTGGCATTAGTGTAAAACTCTAAAACCATGGCTTAACCACTTAATTTTAAAACTTGAACCAGATCATTGCAAATCAAGAAACCGCACTAGGAAAATCGTCATTCCAGGAAAATCTATTAATCTACCAGAATATGGGAATCGTGCTTTTGAGTTTTTTATGCAAGTTCCCCGTCCAACACAGAATGCAAAATTTACCAACCAATATCATGCATACTAGCACGATGAATCAGTAATGGTGGCATCTACCACTAGTGTAGAACTCGGAACCAAAACGATGATTTAACCTACTTTCTCGAAAACAGAGACAAGAGTACTTTTCATTCGAAATCAACTAAATGATATTAGGCCAGCCAACACAGTAAACCTGGCAGATTATGGGATTTGTGCTTTTAATTTGAGGTTTTAGTCAGCCATAGCATGTGAAACTTATAAACATTTTTAGCAAACTACTGAACTATCAAGTAATCACATACGTCTTGGAATGCCTTGGTGTGGATGCTGCATGCATCAGAGGCAGAAAAACTATTGGTGGCGGCTGCTGATGCAGGGGCAGCTGTAGCCTCAGAAGCAACGGTTTCATGTTGAATAGTACGAGGACCCATCACGGCATCCACAGCCCTGTGAGCCACAGCACTTCCAGTTCCAAAAGCCATACCTGTAACATGGAGATAAAGATGAAAACAATTAATGAATATCGGGCAAGGAACCATAACAAACCAACCCGAGGCATAAATAATAAGTAAACCATCTCAGAAGGATTATTCACATACCCTGAGCTATGGTTGAGCCTATTCCTCCGAGCATGGATCCACCTCCACTCTTAGCAGGAGCAGGGGGAGGAGCATGATGAGCTGCAGCAATAAGAATTAAATGGAATTAAACATGGCAGCCAATTGAAGAGATAACTACTACTAAACTAACTACTTATCCAAAGGGAGAAAAAACAATGTTAATAAATCGATATAACCATAATCTAAATATAAAAACCCAAATCACCCGGTTGAGGTGGTGGGCTGCGAGCAGGAACTGGGCGAGGGGCAGGGCGAGAAGCAGACCTTCCTGTAAAACAATAAGAACAAATAAAACACCCCAAAAACTGAAATGACAAAGCTGCTCTAAATTTCAAACATCGAAATGTTTCAAGAACAAGAGAAAATATAACAAATAAGAGACAAGCACAAAGAAAGAAATTCTTTGAATAACCAAAATTAAAGCAAAACCTAGAATATAACTAATCACGCAAAATAAGCTTTAATCAAAGAACAAAGACTAACTAACCCTAGAAATCAGGTTAAATTAGATGTGGGTTATACATAACTAAACACAGAAAACGAAGTAAAAAACCAAAAAATAAATTTGGGAATTAATAGATCTTAAATGAAAGGAATGAGATGAGAAAAACTAACCAGAGCTACGGCGAGGCATGCTGGATGTAGGCGAATCGATGAAGCTGTGACTAATCTCAAGGAAATTTCTGGAATTAGGGTTTTAAGTCTAAGAATCCCAATAAAAATCAAACTCCTAAAGCATCGGAAATGCCTATTTATAAATCTGAGACATAAAGATTGAAGACTGGTGTTTGGTTTTTACCAACACGTGGCAGAACATGATTGGGCATACTAACTACTAATTAAAAGTAAATAGTAATTACAACTAATTAATACGTAAAAGCAATAATATCTAATTAATTAATTAATTAATTAAATTCTCCAGATCTGTTTCCTTCCCAAGTAAACACAATACATTTAACAAAAAATTGAAGGGAAAAAAAGCATATTGTTCTCCTCCAAAACCCTAGGGTTCATAACAAATTCTTCAGATCTTTGATCTTTTTCATCCATCGATTGATCGTTGAAAGTCAATGGCTGAAGAATCAGCATCGACGCAGCCTCAATCATCGGTGGCTCCATTGGGATCTTCCGTTATACCGATAGTGAACAAGCTACAGGACATCTTCGCTCAGCTTGGTAGCCAGTCCACCATAGAGTTGCCGCAGGTGGCGGTGGTTGGAAGCCAGAGTAGTGGTAAGTCCAGCGTGCTTGAGTCTCTCGTTGGCCGCGACTTCCTGCCTCGAGGTTCTGATATCTGCACGCGCCGTCCGCTAGTCCTTCAGCTCCTCCAGACCAAGCTTAAGCCTGATGGTTCCGAGGAGGAGTATGGCGAGTTTCTTCACTTGCCTGGAAAACGCTTCTATGACTTCTCGGAGATTCGAAGGGAGATTCAGGTTCTGTGCTGCTTGCTTTTTATGATTGAGAATTATGTAGTTACGCATTTTATTATTCGATTCAAAAAAACTGTTAGGCGTTTGTGAATTTTCCCTTGCTGACTTGTTGCTTAAGCACGATGAACATTATTAGATAAATTTTAAAGCGCGACAGATATTTGTTATATAAACGTGACACAATTAAGAGACAGGAGCAGCTGGGCAATAAGTTGTGATTGGGGAAATTGGGGGCTTGCAAAAAGGAGTAATTAGAGCTTCTAGGCCTTACAGTGAGCAGAATAGAGTCATTTAATTTGTGCGCTCTTCCCTAATGATCTTAGCTAGATTTCTTGTCTATTCCGTTCGCTCTTGGAAAAACTCTACCCTGTTTTTGCTTGCACGCTATGATCTGTTTCATGAGAGCTAGAAAGAATGTTTACAATTTGTGGTGATGAGGTTCTTCTTTTTAAGTATTAAAAAAATGAAAAAAAAATGTCCTGCTAAATAAAATCTCATCTGATTGCAGGCTGAGACAGATAGGGAGGCTGGAGGAAACAAAGGTGTCTCAGACAAGCAGATTCGACTTAAGATTTTCTCACCAAATGTTCTCGATATCACTCTTGTGGATTTGCCTGGAATCACAAAAGTTCCTGTAGGCGACCAACCCTCTGACATTGAAGCTCGAATTAGAACCATGATCATGTCGTATATTAAACAGCCAAGCTGTCTGATTCTGGCTGTTACTCCGGCAAATTCAGATTTAGCAAACTCTGATGCTCTTCAACTTGCTGGAAATGCCGACCCTGATGGTACTTCTACTAGTAAAACCCACTTCTGCTTGAGCTCCTATTGTTGTTCGTTTAATTAAATAACTTTGATAATTTTCTTCTGGCAGGTTGTAGAACCATTGGGGTTATTACAAAGGTGCACCTTTTAACATGAAAATCTCATTTCAAATTATAGCATTGCCTATACACAAGTTATTTTAAATTTCTGACTAGTTTTGGCTTATTTGCAATTTTGCATATGAATCAGTTGGATATAATGGACAGAGGTACTGATGCTCGTAACTTGCTGCTTGGAAAAGTGATTCCCCTTCGACTTGGTTACATAGGTGTTGTGAATCGTAGTCAGGAGGTAAGAGTGTAACCTAACAGAATTGAAGATATTAATGGTTTTAAAAATGCCATTTTAAGCAAATAATTACGGAGTACCTTGTTAATGGGATGATGTATCATTTTTAGGTTTCTTAAGTATTTTGCAGTAGTCACTATTTTGAGATGCTCTAGTGGCATTTTGGCCTTTCTTCATGATGGTCCTATCAGACATAAAGTAATCTTTTCATGCTATTTTATGTGGAGAGATTGTCCTGCCCATTTGCACTTCCTGCCGTCTGTTTTGCATGGTTAGAAATGATCATAGCTTTCTCTAGCAATCCTGCTGAACTCATATGTTCGTGGATGGATTTAATGCCTCATTCGGAAATCTGGACCTTTGTTCCCAGGGTTATATTGTGGTCGGTTTGGAAATTAAGGAATGCAGTAATTTTTGAAAAGGGGAAGGTAGATCCTTGTCACTTATTTTTATCGCAATATAGATTGGCTGCGTGGTTTCTTGCGAAGTTTCCAAAGGTGAATATTCCTTTTGATTGTCTTGTGGGAGATCCATCCTTGGCTGATACTTGGCAGAGCAGCAAGGTTTGTCCAGCACCTATTGTTTGGTCTCCCCCACTGAGGGATTTTTTTAAAGTTAACGATGATGGTGCGATGAACATGGACTGGTCTAGAGGTGGTATGGGAGGTCTACTCCGTAATTCAGAGGGCTTGGTTCTGGGTACCTTCTCAGAGCAAGTTGGGCTTGGTCCTCCTATTTTGGCAGAGCTACTGGCAGTTAAGGCGGGGTTGAGCTTATTCTTTGAATTGGGTTGGTGCTCTAAGGGTAGATTGATTGTGGAATGTGACTGTTAATTCTTTGGATTGTTTAAAAAACCCTGGTGCTTGTCCTGGCCTATTTGCTGCTTTAGTCAAGGAAATTGTTGCAATCGTTTTAGAGCGAAGCGTAATAGTGAAACACATTCAGAGATGTGCAAACTGAGAGGCGGATGAATTAGCAAAGTTAGGAATTGGATAGATTTTTCTGTTGTTTCCTAGGTTCTGGTTGTGCTTATAATTTTATAGGCTTGATTGTTGATTTGGCCTTGATGGGATCTTTGTATCTCTTGTATTTTCTGTTGGAGTTTTAATAAATTTGAGGCACTCTTTTCCTCCTTCCAATGTTCATTGGGATACTTTCTGGTAATTCAATGGATATGAAGAGGGGTTTTAATGAGTCCTCCCCTTATAAAAAAACCATAGCTTTCTTCTTGTTGACTTCTTTTTTAATGGTCAGCCATATTTTAGCAATTAGATGTACGATGTATGCAAAAGCACTGATATATGATAGGTACTACTGCCTGAAAAACCCTTTTTTTACCTCCAAAATAGCAATAAAAATGAATTAAGGCTTAGCAAATTATCATTTTTTTTATTCTAGACGACTTCATTTTTTTCTATTGTAAATCATATACTGCTTATCAGGTAGCTTACTTTCCTATTGTGCTAATAGTTTCATTGCATATCTAAACAGGATATTTTAATGAACCGGAGTATCAAGGATGCCCTTGTTGCAGAGGAAAAGTTCTTCCGGAGTCGTCCAGTATGGATGCGCCAACCTTTAGCAATTGTTCATGGTTTGATACAGTTTCCATCTCAATTTGCTTATTTCTTTTTGCTATAGGTTTATAATGGTCTTGCCGATCGATGTGGTGTGACTCAGGTGGCAAAGAAGTTGAACCAGGTAAAGTATTTGGAACATGAAGTTTCCGAATTATGGAGTATAAATCTCAGTTTTGAATGTCCATGTTTTGTTAGTGCTTGTGTGTTCTATTACTATTACTTATCCTATTAATCCTCTTTCTTCATGCTAGGCATTTGGTGGGAACCAATGTAAACTTGCATGTCTACTCTATCTAGACTGTAGACTTTAGAGTTATTCTTGAGGCTGAGTCATATCTGGAGCATTCCTACTTTCCTATGGTCTTTGATCTGATTCAAGCACCTTGATGCTTATAGGAACTATTGAAGGTTTTATGCTAGTTTGGGACTTTATTTTATTTATTTTTATTTTTTTTGCAATTCTAGTTCAGTCTTGTGACCCAGTTGTGTATGACTAGAGACGTATAACTTTGATAGGGGGAATGTCTCTATTTTTTTTATCTCATTGCCATTGGTGAATCTTTCTATGCTGCTCCAATGTAGATTTTAGTGCAACATATCAAGACAATACTTCCTGGACTGAAATCACGCATTAGTTCTGCATTGGTGTCTCTGGCAAAGGAGCATGCAAGCTATGGAGAAATCACAGAATCAAAGGCATGCATCTTTATTTTTCTACCACAAACTTGGTTGAGAAAAGTATCTGAAACTATTTTCTCATGACGATTATGATTTTAAAATCTGTAGGCTGGTCAAGGAGCTCTTCTTCTGAATATTCTTTCAAAGTACTGTGAAGGTAAATGGTTTGCTTGGCTGTCAAATTTTCTTATTAATATTGTTAAACACTTATGGTGTACATTCTAGTATATTGGCACTGATGCCATAAATCAACGCTTTGTTTGAAACAGCTTTCTCATCAATGGTAGAGGGGAAAAATGAAGAAATGTCTACATCTGAGCTGTCTGGTGGAGCAAGGATTCACTATATTTTCCAATCAATCTTTGTCAAGAGCTTAGAGGTGTGTAGATTGAGATTTGTGCCTTGATATTTTCATGCTTTTCACTCTTAAGAATTTGTAGTTAGCTGGATTTGTTTTCCGTTCAATGTTAGAGGTTCCTTCTGTTTTTACGCATCTCTTTATCTTTAGGGTGTTTCTTCACGTCATTGTACAATAGTTGGTCCTTGATTATTTTATTTATATCATTGTACAATATTATTGGTCATTAATTACTATATTATGTAATTAACATTTCTGTGGGATCTGTGATGTGTGCATTTCACTTTGGTAATTACATGCTCTTTTCAGAGACAGGATTAAAAATTTTGACAACCTTACAAAAATAAATGGTTATCTGATTTCTTGATATTGATGAGATTAATTTCTCACCTTCCCTCTATTCTGGTAGTAAAATAAAACCTTCATATCTTTTACGTATCGATGCTGCTTCATTTAGAGCACAAACAAACATCGGCAAGAGTCATACATTACAACCTAGAAATTGTTGATAGATAGACATGCTCTATACAGTTGCTTTTTATGTACATAGTTATTCTTG